TCTATCATGGATTTACAGGATGACATTAGCAGCAACAGTTTATCAGATATTGAGGGAAAGAAACCTTAGAATCTTTAAGCAAAAGGAGAGGAATATAAGCATGATTAACAAAGTAATTACTCAAGACATTCATCATAGAGCTAGCATGATTCCTAGACTAAATAGTTATATGCAAAACTTTAATTTCTATCCTTAGAATGTTATAGTATAGAGGTAGAATTAGTTGAAGTAGAACTCTGAGAGTGGAACATGTCCATATCCAGAGTGCTAAAATGTACAACAGTGACAAATCTGGTAATAAAGTTTACAGTTACCAAAAAAAAATATTATTAATTATATTATCTTCTAATAACATATTATTTTACATATAATGTCATTTATTAAACATATAATATTACTAATTCTTTTTAAATGTAATATAATATTTTTAGAAATATATTATTTAACATATACTACTTTCATCCCGAATCAATAGTATTAATTTTTTTTCCTAATTTTCGTCAACAATATAATTTGATTTTATTAATAATTTTACTATAAAGAATACACAAAATTAAAATGATAAGATGAAAAAATTTAATTTAAAAATACAATATATAACATGATAATTTAAATACAAGATAACAATACAATACATAACATAATAATTTAAATACAAGATAACAATACAATATATAACATAATAATTTAAATACAAGATAAAATACATAACATAATAATTAATTAATCACAATAATAATTTAGTTATCCGGTAGGTCGTTTCCAAATTTAGCTCTATTCGGAAAAAAATTAGGGTATCATCCAGAGAATTGTTGCGATTGTGGTTGTGATTGTCGATTTCTTTTTTCAATTATACGTTGTTGTTCTTGTTGCATGTAATCACATGCAACAATAAAAAAATAAAAATGGAATTATGATATGATCCAGAGAATTGTTGTCGATTGTGGTTATGTTATTTAGAAATTTAGAATAAAATGTAATTTTATATTAAATAAAAAATTTGAAAAAATAAAATTTTATATCACATTAAAATTATATAAAGTAATTATTTGGGAAAAAGAAATAAAGGATTTATATTACGAAATAAGAAAATAAGAATGAAATAGAAATAATAATATAATATTGAGGAGAAAGAAAAGATTTTTTTTAGAGAGTAAAATAGATAATTGAGTTGTTGTTGGTTGTCTGAAAAAAAATAGAGAACTCTATATTTGAAGAGTAAAATAGAGGGTTGAAGATGCTCTTAGACCATCTCCAACCCATCTCTATTTTACACTCTCTATTCTCTATATTTGGAGAGTAAAATAGAGAATGGGTTCTCCAAGCACTCTCTATTTCACTCTCTATTCTTCAATTATAGAGAGGTGATTAGTAGTTCTCCAAATTTGGAGAACTACTATTCACCTCTCTATTTTAGTTTTTTATTATTTTAATATTATTTCTATTATATTACTAGTTAAGTCTATCATTTGTTATTATTTTCTAATGTAATATAACATCTAAAAATATATTATTAACAAGTTACTACTCACACCCAAATTAATAATTTTTCTATTTTATTTCATTTTAAAAAAAATTGTCACTTTAAATATGTAATTGAAAGTTATTTTAATATTATTTATATTATATAAAATTATTAATTAAGTCTCTAATATTTGTAATTATTTTCTAAGTAATATAACATCTAAAACATATTATTGATAAGTATACTACTTCCATCCCGAATTAACAATTTTTCTAATTTAATTTTTAAATGTGTTTTTTGTCATTTTAAATATGTAATTTAAATTATAATTATTTTTATTATGAAAGTATGCACTAAAATTTACATGATAATTCAAACAACCTACTTTTATATTATAGTGATAAATTATTAAACTACACTTTTTAATGAGCATGAAAATATTTGATGTTATAGTTCAAAATTGAAGAGGGGAAGTAAATTAGTACGAAATAATTGGATATAAAATGAAATTGTTAATTTAAACAATTTTTAGCTACACCTAAAAAAATAAGGACAAAAATTGCTCATTTTGAACTCCGTAATACATTAATAGAACATTTACGAGAGTTATATAATAGTCTTGAAAGTTGAGTATTTACGTAAAATTTAAAATAAATTTTACAATGATACAATATTTATGATGTTTTCATTTTTATTTGAATTGTTCGTTAATATGTATTATATATAATATTTATTGCAATTTATGTTATTTAGATTAAATATAATTTATATTAAATAAAGAATTTGAAAAAAAAATTTGTATTACATAGAGTGATTATTTGCCAAAAGAAGAAATGATTTATATTATGAAATAAGAAAATAGAAATAATAATATAATATTGAGGAGAGAGAAAAAGATTATTTTTTAGAGAGTAAAATAGAGAATAGGGTTAGAATTAATTGTCTGAAAAAATAGAAAACTCTATATTTTAAGAGTAAAATAGAAAATAGGGTTGGAGATGCTAGCACCTCATTTAAGCTCAAGTCTGTCTCAGAAGTCTTCCCAAAGATGAAAAATGCCCTTCTGCTACAGAGTTTACATCTGGTTGTCAACTTTATCACAGTAAACCACAACTGGAATTATGTCGAGCCCTTCCTGAAAGCAAGCACCCAATACCATGTAAGAGCAAAAATCATTTGCTAAATAATGTTGATGGAGGTAAAAGGAGTAGTAGGATCAGAAACTACAAGTTCAGAGCTACAGTTGGAAGAGAAATTGAGTATGCTATTTAGATTCAGAAAGTAGTTTCCAGAAAATTCAAGGAATACCTCAAGTAATCACCATCTAGGCCTGCAACAATTACAGTCCCATCAACACCAGCAGCATTGCAACAGAAATCATAAAGGCTCATCAAAGAACTGAGCTTCATCAATGCTCCATCCTTCTCAAGGATTAAATAGAAAAGGAAGCATTTAAAAACACAGTTACAATCAGCTGCACTTTTCCATGCTGATTACCAAGTAAAGCTACACAAAACAAGACTCAACTAACCTTATCTGGAAAAAAGAGTAAACATCCTATACTCCTATTTGTGACCTCATGCACCTCTTAGCTACTCCCTTGGTTTCAATTTGTTTGTCTTGTTTTGACTTGGCTCAGAATTTAAGAAAGTACATAAAACTTTTGAATGTAGAATGTACTAAAATTCCCTTTAATTCTGTGGTCTTAAACATGTCATGTGAAAAGTTAGAATTAAAAAGTTACCAAAAAAGGAAAGAAACATTCTTCTTTAAACGGACTATAAAGGAAAGTAAGACAAGCAAATTGAAATGGATGGAGTATTAAGCTAAGTAAAAATGACAACGTACTCGCAAGATATTTTTTCAGACTCTAATATAGACAGTAGTTTTAAGCTCATGCAGCAAGTTCTCCATTCTGTTGGCTCTTTTCTGATAGAGTCTAGCATTCCATTCAATCCAAAGATCATAAACAGAGTGCAAAGGAAGGCTTTGAGTAAGACATTCTGAGGTATTCTTGCTCCTTGTATTCCTGTGTATCCATTGCCATTCTCCCAGTAAAGAAATTTTTAATTCCATTGTAGCCACTGCAAGGCATTTTTCAGGTCGTAGAAAAAACAACAAGCAAAGGACACACATACCATTCACAGGTATACCCCATCTCATCAGCAGGTCCTGAGCTATCAAACTTCCTCATAGTGCTATCCATAGTATAAACACACCCTTAGATTAGCAGCATTGTGACACACTAAACCCCTCCCAGGGACATTGGTGACTTTACCTCTTTTAAAGCCCGGTAGGCGACCTTAATATGGTACTTCCCCTGCCTGAAGAGTTGATTACATTTAGCTAGTACCTCCCAATGCTTCCTCATGTACGTCAAATTTAATATACGAATGTTGCAGTAACACGAAATTTTCACAACGCCCGATGAAGCCTATATCCAGTAGTTAACTGAGGAAGGTAAAAGTGAGAAGACACAAGATATCTCTAGTTCATGAAGTTTGTATCCAACTATAATGTTAATATTATACCCAACAAATGTGTGATGAAGAGTGCTCATTTTAACCAATTAGAGGTGCAACTATTATAAAACTTGTAATATACTGTTAGAATTATCACATGATCCATCATCAATTATCCAAGCTCAACACTTGCTAATTCGAAGCTCTGGTTAATTGAACTGTATTGCGGTAAAAAGTAAAAACTAGTACAAAGACCGTTGCTTTTAGGAATACAATCTAGAAATTCTCTAGGAGGAGCAGTTGTTTCACATCATTGAAATCTGCTTCCTTGCATTCGTAATCCAGATGCCATAAAATACTATTTCTTATTGCTGATTTCTATTTGTTGAAGCCTCCTCCTTCTGACATTGCTAATTAATTTAGAGATTAGTTTCTACTTCCACCTGTGCAATGTAGAATTCACGTGGACTACATGGTGTCGATAAAGGCATGCTTAAGCCTTGAAGCAAGACTCAAAATGTGTTGAGTGCAAACACTTAGACTCGCTTAATGTGCGCTTCAGTATCATCAAGACCTTAAGACAGACTTATACTTGCCAATGAGTCTCTCCTTAAGGGGAGATTCATTTTATCGTAAAAAAATCAGTTTTTTTTACATATACGTCTTATTCATTGTTATAATTATTAGTCTTGGACTAATCATATATATTTGCATTTTTTTCTCCATTTGTCCTTTTGATTAAAATCTACGCCTTATTTGCGCTTAAAGCCCCAACACCTTAGAGCTTTTTTGCATTTTCGCTTTTAATAACACTGGGACTACATTATTAGAACATTTTGAATTTTCTAGTCTCATATTTTTGGAGGCACACGTGAAATCTCTTAGATCTGAAATTTATCTCTTGCATCTCGTCTCTCTTACAATATTACATGGTAAAATTGAGAAGAACAACAACAAATCTAGCATAATCCCACAAGTTGGGTCTGGGAAGGGTAGAAGTGTATGCAAAAGTTATCCAAAGGTAGGAAGGTTGTTCACGACTGACCCTTAGCTGAACAACAATGAAAAAAAAATACATGGTAAAATTGAGAAAGTATTTGAAAATAGCAACATATCCAGATACAAGGGGAAGAGAAATAACAACAATTAATGATGAGACCACTCGCCTATTTGAAGATTTAAAGTCCCACATTGATTAGGGAATGGACTAATGATCTGCTTATATGGACTAGGGAAATCCTTCCCTCATGAGCTAGCTCTTGGGATTGAATTAGGCCTAGGTGTCATATCTTTACATGGTATCAGAGTTAGATTCATCCCCCTTTGGATTTCCGGTCCACGCTCTAGTTGGCCTCGGCGTGAAGGGAAGTCTTAGAGTGGGTAAAAATCTCACATTAGTTGGGGAATGGACTGACGATCTACTTATATGGACTTGGACAATCCTTCCCTCATAAACTAGTTTTTGGGGTTGAGTTATGCCTAAGTGTCATATCTTTAAAGAAAAAAGCAAATAAAAAAAGTAAAGGAGCAGAGAATAAACACAGAAGGTATGCCACTGAAATTGCAGAAGCCATGCCAATGAAATTGCAGAGAAACTTGTTGTTAGCCATTGAAACGCAGAGAAAAAAAGCAGAGGTGCATAGAGATGGAGAAAAGGAAGAGGAAAGAAGAGACTGCACGAAATGGCTATGGAGAAGAAAGAAGAAAAGGAAAGGAACAGAAGTTTAGTAGTGAGGGTATTGTTGAAATTAGAAAAAAATATATGGGATCAAAAGGTAAAATCGTTGATCAAACAAAAACAGTTTTTAAGCCAAAAAGGCATAAGTAGGGTTGCCCAGCTTATGGCTTATTTTAGCTTAAAAACCAAGTGCTTTAAAGTACTTTTTAGCTGTTCCAAACACTCAAATAAGCTGGTTAACCCAGATTTTAAACCCATCCAAACACCCTCTTATCTACACTTGAACCTTCCTTTTTCTCTTAAAAAGTAAGGTTAAACAGAATGGTAGTCTTTTTTTTTTGGTTGCAATCGATTATTAGATATTTTACCCAAAGAGAGCTGCTGAAAAAAATACAAAAACATCAAGAAAATGCTGCAGCTTCAAGAGAGCATACAAAATCGAGAAGTCATTTCTACAGCCAAATATATCACATACCGTAAGATAGAGAAATTAATACTTTACACTTTCTGCTACAAAAGAGCTATTAAATTTCTTTACAACTTCCCTCTTTACTTTGTAATTGTATAGTTAGTGGATTTTCTCATTACGAAGTTTCAAAGGACCTTCTCATCACATATTTCAAACGTCACAGCCATAATAGCAGGACTCTAGCAAAACCTGGGACAAGATCAGGCACGATTTTTTTTTTGAACTTGGTAAGGTTGTATTATATCACAAAACAATACATGGGTTGTACTGAAACCTTATATACAAAAGCCCCAATTCTTACTGCTCTATGGCTAAATTGAGTCCAAAACATCAATTATAGAGACAGTATCATTTGAGTATAACTGATTACACCAAAAACATAATAGCAAAATGCAGTTGAGCTTCATTTTCTGCACACTGTTTTCTATGCTCTCAAAATACCTAGAGTTCCTCTCTTTCCATATTGCCCACCATATTCAAGAAGGGATAAGTCTCCATCTGCCTCTGGCAATCCAGTACTCCTGCTTCCTCCCAGCTCCTTAAAGCCTCAGAAACTTTCTTAGGCCATAGTCCATGAGATGCCTTTGAGACTCTAAAAAATTCTCCATAATTGTTGAGTGTACTTGCAGTGTAGAAACAGATGATTCACATTCTCTAAAGTCTCCCAACAGAGAAAGCATCTAGAGCATAAGGTTATCCCTCTCTTCATGACATTGTCTTGAGTAAGAGTTGCTTCCTTGGCCAACAACCAGACAAAGCAAGATACTTTGTAGGGTATTCTGCTTTTCCATATTTGTTTCCATGGCCAATTTGTAATTTGTTGGTTTGTCTGATCCATTAGCTTATAAGCTCTATTCCCTGGCCAAGATCAGGGACGATTTTGGTGTCAAGTTTTTTAAAACCTCAGAGTATCTGATAGATAATAAGAGCATGGAGAATCAAAGTTACCTATAATTTTTTATGACCAAAGTTACCTATTATTATTTGCTTATTCATCCGCTTAACAGTTTAGAAAAGCAAGCACTATACTGCTATGTAAAAGAAAGCTTGCAAGAACACAAAGACTAAGCTGCACGGACTCTTCACTTACGACACTGCTACCATATTACATTCTCCAAAATTAAAATACACCAATTTTAAAGAATCCGACATGCACCCGTTGACATTTTTGAAGAGTTCAAGCAACATAGCAAAGACTAAGTTGTTCGGACTCTTCACCTTTGATGCCACACCCGTGTCAGATTCTCCAAAATTACACAAATGTTGGAGAATCCGACACACTCATTGACATTTTTGAAGAGTCTGAGCAACATAGCACAGTATGAATAAGGATTTAAAGTATATATCCTTAACAACAATTAGAGGATAAGCCTGCAAAAGACTGTTCTGTACCTTTGCTTTCCAGAAGTTTATAATAGTATGATCCACAGGGAGTTGAACATAATCTTCAAGATGAACTCCAGTTTCTAAGGAGGTGCAACCTCTATTTTTTCAATTAACCATGGCTTCCTTGCCTCCCAGCAACCACAGCTGCAGTATGTAAATAATCCCCCAAGATTTGCTCAATCAAGTAGTGAAAACAAGAGGCAATGTGAAACTGGAACTGACGTAGAAAAAAAGTTACATTTGCTTGTAATCATTGAGAAGAACCAGAATCCAAAAAGGAAAGAATGCAGGGTAGCAATTCAGGTGGCCAAACCAACTGGGCTACACTGACCAATTCTATTTGTTCAAAAAAGAGTAGAAGATTTAGTCAATGACTAATTTTCCATAAACATCATACATCGACTCAGCCATAATAAAGAATTATATAAATATACAATTCGTTCTTTTTTTCACACATTTTGTTTAGTATACATGTGGGGTTGCGGTTTGGGGGGGGGGGGGGGC